CACACACAGGGCAGGTTTATGGTCCCAGACCCCCGCTGTGCTGGACACAGCGCAGACCAGCTGCTGCCCGTGGCCATCGGGGGATCCCTGGGGTAACTGGGATCACACAGAAACCCCGGCTGGCCAGGGCTGGAAGGGACCTCTGGAGACCATCCAGTCCAACCCCCTGCCAGAGCAGGTCCACCCAGAGCAGGTCCCACAGGAACGTGTCCAGGTGGGTTTGAATGTCTCCAGAGAAGGAGACTCCACCACCTCCCTGGGCAGCCTCTGCCAGGGCTCTGCCACCCTCACAGGAAAGAAGTTCCTCCTCATGTTGAGATGGAGTTTCATGTGTCCCAGGTTGTGCCCGCTCCTTCTTGTCCTGTCACTGGGCACCACTGAAAAAAGACTGGATCCTTAAGTGTTTATAAGCATTGATCAGATCCCCCCCTCAGTCTGCTCTTCTCCAGACTAAAAACCCCAAGTCCCTCAGCCTCTCCTCAGCAGAGAGATGCTCCGGTCCCTTGATTTTCTTTGTAGCCTCTGCTGTCCCCTCTCCAGTAGTTTCCTGTCCTTCTTGAAGTAGGGAGCCCAGAACTGGTCCCAGTGCTCCAGATGGGGCCTCCCCAGGTCAGAGTAGAGAGGGAGGATGACCTGTCCTGGTGCAGGGGGCTATTCCTCCCCAGGTGCAGCACTCTACATTTGCCCTTGGTGAACCTCATTAGGTTCCTCTCTGCCCAACTCTCCAGCCTTCCTGGACACCAGATGGGAGGCCAACGGGATGGTCCCATCTCCCTACTCTGGAATATGCGTGTCAACTGCACGGAGACCCGTTGGCTCAGGCTCCAAAGAAACAGGCTCAGTTTGGCAGCAGCGTGAGCAGCCCATCAGCCGCCGCTTTGATTTCCATTCTCTTGCTGAGCCAGCGCTTGTAAACCATCTTCAAGCTGAAACCAGGCTTTTGGGTGGAAATGACTTCTTAAATGTGGTTTTGTTGTAAAGTGGAGATCTGGGGCCAGAGCCAGATCTGCCAGGAAAAGGAGACGTTGTGCCGCCCTCCGTAACCCCAGGCAGTCCCACCTGCTGGGACCTGAAGTTCAGAAGCAGGAGGTAGTTCCTCGGGAGTTAAAGACCACACACAACTGGTGAGTGCAGCTCAGGCTGAACTGCTGCTGCAGAGCTGGGGAACACCTACAATGGTTTCTGGAGAGAGCCCCTGGACAGCCTGGTCCCCACCACTGCGTGGAGCTGCTGCACCTCTGGTGTGGGGAGACCCATCAGACACCACCCAGGGCTGTGGGCACTGGGAGGAACAACACAAGAACTCCAGCATGTCCAGGCTGTCCCACAGAGAGGAACCTGTGCCTGAAGGGAAACGCTGCCTCCTCTCCTCCCTCCTGAGTCACCAGCGACAACTGCCAACACAACCATTTCCAGCCCAAATTTCCATAGGCATTTCTGGTCAGACTGGTCCTATAGCTCAGAAACGTCCCAGCAGACAGGGTGCACCCACAGAGTCAGCACAGGCACCACTGAGCCACCAACAAAAGAGTCACCCAGGCGTGTGCCCAGAAACCCCCCTGGCAGCCTAAAGGGGCTGGTGTTTCCCCACGTCCCACCAAGGGACACGTCCAGCCTCCAGGGAAGGTGGGGGAGGCTCCAGCATGGCCCAGCACAAGATAAAAAGAGGATTTAACACAGGGACACACGGCTGTGACTGCAGTGACAGTCACATGAAGGTCCTCGCTCTGCCACCTTGGGCATTTTAAAACATCCCTTGTCTGGTGGTAAATGCAAAACAACCAAAGGGCGCTTCATCCCAACAGCCCGATGACAGACGACCCCGGGATGTTAAACAGTCACCACGCTGGAGGCAAGGTCACCTTTGTTTTTCACACCCTTCCAGCCCGTCAGTCTTACATTCCCAAATCACTGCAAGGAAATCATGGAAACCAGTGGAATGATGGGTTTCCTGCCCTTTGCAGGCAGCGTGTGTGCAGGACGTGCTCGAGGAAGCTGCCCAGAAGGATTTCCCATCTCGGAGCTGTGTCCTGCGTCGCTGGCACCACCTGCACAAGACAAACCCACTTCTCATGGTCCCTAAACCCCCATTATTGTGGCCAAGGGATGTTTGGAATTCCAAGCCTGTTGGAGAGCAGTGCTCTCCCGGGGTGGGGACCAGGACAACATCCCTCCTGGCAGTGGGAGCACCCAAAGCCCAGCTCCTTCGCGGCGCAGACGAGTGCTGAGACGTGGCAGTTACGGCACGAAGCACCGCCAGCCTTTCACCAACCAGCAATTAAACCAGCTTAGGTTAATGGGGCCCCAATTATGGCATCTATCTGTAAAATTATAATGCTCTGGCCCACAAATCCTGCAAATAAGCTCCTGCAGCTAAACTAGAAACAATCACACAGCTGACACTTGTCACCACTTTCATTCAAAGTGAGAAAAAAAACAACACAATCCAATGAAGGTTGCGTGGAGGGCTCCCTGTGTGAGCATTTACTTATTCAATAGAACAAGAGTGTAACAAATCACTACAGATATCTTTGAGAAATATAAAATGGCTCCAAGAGGATTCATAACCTTTTTATTCTTCACTGCCAACAAGAACCTTGACAGAACTGAACTTTTAAGTAATCCTAATTTTGCACATTCTACTCGACATGTATTATTTTACACTGGTAGTAATACAAATGGCGAAAATTCAGTCTTTTGAGGAACGTTCTTTTCGAAAGGCATTAACTTCTTCCCAGAAAAATACCATGGCTGGTTTCTTAGCTCTTTGCATTTCTATATTTAGATCCCATTTTGCACTTTGCACCCAATTTTTAGAAATACACTTCTTAATCCAAACATTTACATAGTCCTAAATGTGTGTTTTTAGTGATTTAAACCCTTCCTGCATCCCCACACTCCACTGCCCTCTCCCCCAACACAGAACAGTTACGTTAGAGCTTTCAAATGTGTCTTCAATGTTAGAAAACGACAAAACCTTACTGGAAACGAAACAAGGACGTAAGCGTACTCTTTGAACTTCACCTATTTGGCTTTATGCACATTGTAAGGAACTGGCAGAGGATTCTGTTATCGCGGGACTCGAGGCACCTCGTCCCCAGGTGACAGAGTTAAGGCTTAAAGGCTGAGGCTGCAAAGGCACCATCAGGATCTTTCTAGGGAAAAGACAGAATTCCATAAATGACAATGTTGTCGCAAACCCAAACTCTCCACTTCCCGTGCCCCGTGTGGGCAAACTCAGATGCTGACAAGATGAAAAGCAAAGAGCACATAAAAATACTTCTAGTTTTGGCTGATCCTGGCGATTTTAATGACACATTATGCAGTGGGAAGTCTCAGCCCCTTTAACTCTCAGCACCGACTTCCCGCTCTCCGGGCTGTAACAGACCCTCAGATACCACTTCACCAGCTGCAGGGGCCATGAGCACAGCTTATGGCAGAGTCCTCCCTGGCAAACGGTCACACCTTCTCACAAATGGCCTAGTACAGGCTCCACAGAAATCACTCCAGACACCAGGAATCCTGCACACACTGACGGGTAGCGGTGCTCTGCAGACGCGAGACACGCGCTCGTGGTGCGGAGTAGGAATTCCTGGAAATTACCCTGTTGTGTGGTTCCAGACTTCAACTGAAATGGGACCACAATATCCACACCAATCTGCCAGTTTTGCAGGGCATTTCCCCTCCCCACTCCCAAGCATAACTTCGTTTACAGGTAGCAAAATCACCCCCTTCCCCTCCCCACCACTTCAAACCCGTCAGTGCTCCAAGAGATCTCCTGCTGTTTCCAAAGCCCTGAGGCAAACAGAACCTCACAGACCATCAGTGCTGCCACTGACAGCTGAACCACACAGACTTGCCAATTTCTGCCTTTTTTCCTGCGAATTACTCACCGCTGTCTAAGGAAGGAGGATTTCCAAGTTGGTGCTGTGTGAATTTATCAGCCCATTCGCTCAGTAACAAAGATCACCCAATGCAGACGAGGTGAGCGCTGTGCTGGTGCGAGCGACACAGGGTTGATTTCTCTTTCAGTAATTTTATTTTACACTAAGGTCTCTTCTAATGCCTGGGAAAACTGCATTTTTAGAGGACTCTAGTGAATGAATTTGTGAAAATATTTCCTTTACAGCCATCTCTGGGGGGCGGGTTTTCCATCTCCCAGGAGCGAGCCCCGGGCACCTGACCCGAGCTGCCAACAGGGTTATTTCATACCATGAACGTCACGTTCAATAGAAATCAGAAGTTTCCTGAGGATTTCTCTCTCTCTCTCCCCCTCTCCCTCGATGGCTGCCATCCTGGGAACTCCTTGGCCCTGAGCCCTTCCCTTCCTCCCGGAGCCACAGGACATGGGCTGTCCCTGCAGGGAGTGCACGGCTTCTGCTGGGATAATGGGCCAAGGATAATCCTTGTATATTTTATAATCATATCAGGATCAATATAGGTTCTTCAGAATTATTAATGTTAAGTATTATTCTATTAAATCTGTTCATATTTCAGCCTGTGGGTTTCCTTGCTTATTCCCTGATTCCTCTTCCCAGGTGGGGTCACTAGAATAATTGTCTAAATGACAATAAATTGTTGTGGGTTCTTCAAACCATAACATTTGTGAAACAAATGCTTGGGGAAAAGACTTGACAACCAAGGATAGTTTTAAAAATTAAAAGTGTTGCAAAAACATGTCATGGAGGGAGAGCCAAGTCTACAGAGTCCTGTCATCAGGTTCAGGGAACATCCACCATCCACAGGAGCTCTTGGGTCCTAAAAAGGCAATGAACTTCCAGGGGGAAGAGACACTAATACCCCAAACTCTGACGAGGGCGAGACATGTTTTTAGCATGAGATGGAGAAAAAGATGAGAATTTCCTCCGCTCCCCCAAGTGAGAGTGGCCTTTGCTGAAGCAGCGCTTGTCACCTTGGCAACAATGCTTATCTGCAGGTGACATTTTCATTTGGTTTGGCAGATTCAGCCCAACCCTGTGGCAACTGAAGCATCACTGGAGTGTGCAGGATTCATTCCCACAAAGCCCTGGAGGACCAGGTTTAGCTGCTCTGAGCGGGGAAACAGGATGGTCATTCCTCAAACCACCTTTAAACTTCTGCTTTGCTGCTGCTGGCAAACGATGGTCTGGTTTCAGCATCAGATGCTTCAACAGGGGAAGCTCCCTCCCACCTCCAGGTGTAGTTTGATAGGTTTTTCCCCCAAAGTGCTGGTTTCAGCAGCCCCAGTTTTACCCCTGCTCTGATTTAGCTCCATCCGGCAGCGAGCAGAGACGCACAAAGCAAGGAGATCACTTGGTTTAAGGTGGTGGTGGTGAAAGGGGTTGTTGAGGATGGTGTAGAAGGACTTGTTTAGAGAGACAGAGCCCAAGTGACTGGGGACCAGGCTGCTAAAGTTAGACCACTGTGAAGAAGGACCTGCTAAGAATATGAAATAAAGAATACAGAGGATGCTTCAAAGCAAGGATGCAGAGGATAATCCAAGCATCCGAGTCCCTCAGAAGGTGCTGTGAAGGAGGCAGGTGTTATAAACTCTCTCTCTGTCCCTGCAGCAGTGGCCAGAGGTTTCAGCAGCTGCCACCAGCTGCAGAAGTCACAGTGCCACAGCCACACACACAGTACTTACAGTCTTTCCATGGCACGGCGTACGGGAAGGACTCAGGGGCACGAACTCTCGAAGGGAGGCAATTCTTCTGTTCAAAGGTGGTGCTGGAACTGAGAGACTCCAGTTACTTCTCCTGACAAATGCACTTGCTCAAATTTACACATTTTGCTCTCGCACAGAGGAGAGCAGGGACACAAAGGGACTGTACTTTGCCACTCACAGGTGGTGGTGCTTAGAAGAGCAGTATCTGCTCTAAACGCTACGAAGTTTTCCAAAAAGCTTAACAAGTGAACCCAGATGTCACTGTTGCTATGGAAGGAGAGGTGTATCATGGCTGAGCTCACACAGAACTACAGAGCTCTCAGGTGCAGGACTGTCGCTGCGTATGGGCTTAGATGAAACCTTAAAGCACACTCTGGCAGCTCCAGTGGCACCGTCACACCTCACACACAGCCTGTGGTCACCATCTGCTGTCAGATCAATGACACACACCACGGCAGCCCCATCCAGGTCACAGCTGGACACTCAGCTCCTCACTCCCCCCAACCCAAACTGTGATTACGCCTTGCAAAGGGCAAGGTGGGGGGATTTCTGCTAACGTAGGGCCTTCATGCCAGTGCATCTGCCAGGTCTAAGGTGACAGGAGGTGAGAAGGGACTGCTAGCATTGACCAGCCATCCAGCAGGACCTGAACACATGCCACGGGCAGGGACAGCACCCTGCCATCAGCACACAAGGGCACAGAGCATCTGTGTTCCTAAGGGCTTCCTTCTCTTGTATGAGAAAACCAGTGACACCGAACCAGTGCTCTAAGGATGTTCACTGTTAACGAGCTTCCCTCCTCCCAGGGTTTGCACTGCAGCAAAGCCAGCCCCTGTCCAGCCACCGAGGGCGAGCCAGGAGCAGGCTGCAATATTCTTTGATAGAAAACACTGCTGTAAGGAATCAATCTCACATTTGTTACCTGTTTATGCCAGAATTGGTCATGCCCCAAATAAAAGGAGAATCTGACTGCTCCAACAACTCTGCAAAAGGAAACAGATGTTGTGGCTCAGAACTAAGAAACTCCAGCAACCACCATCATACCAGGAATCTCTCTGTCGTATTTCTACATGTTCAAAATACAGTAAAAGTTGATCTAATGACGAATGTGTCTGCTTCATTGCCATTTAACTGAGCAACACAAAAGTTATCGTGTTTCCATTGTCATCATTGTACAAAAAGTACAAAAACTTATATGGGAAAGGGCAGACACTTGGAAATATATCTTCATGTGAGATAGGGCAGGCATGAAGTGTGGCCAGCACGTCGAGGGAGGTGATTCTACTTCTCTGCTCTTGTGAGACCCCACCTGGAGTACTGTCCAGCTCTGGAGTCCTCAGCACAGGAAGGACATGGACCTGTTGGAATGGGTCCTGCAGAGGACCACAAAAATGATCATAGGGCTGGAGCCACTCTGCTGTGAGGACAGGCTGAAAGTGTTGGGGTTGTTCAGCCTGGAGAAGAGAAGGCTCCAGGGAGACCTTATAACAGCCTTCCAGTACCTGAAGGGGGCTACAGGAGAGACGAGGGGGGATTCTTTATCAGGGAACGTAGAGATAGGATGAAGGATAATGTAAATTTAAAGAGGGGAGACGTAGATTAGATATTAGAAAGCAATTCTTTACTATGAGGGTGGTGAGACACAGGAACAGGTTGCCCAGAGAAGCTGTGGCTGCCCCATCCCTGGAGGGGTTCAAGGCCAGGCTGGATGGGGCTTTGAACAACCTGGTCTGGTGGGAGGTGTCCCTGCCCAGGGCAGGAGGATGGAACTCGATCTTTAAGGTCCCTTTCAACTCTAACCATTCTATGATTCTATGAGGAACAGTTCTCAGTACCAAGAAAAGCCTGCTGGGTGGAGAGATGCATGGTTTCAGGAATGACCATAAGCAGGGGGTCCTACAGGTGGGACCTGGGCGAGCACCCTGGACTTGCACTGTCCCAAGTGAAGCTGGAGGACAGGACCGGGGCAAAAGCAGCAGTTGGCAGATGGGGAAGTTCCTCACCTGTTTCCCAGTCTTCCTCACATGGAGGTGCCTCCCACGTGCTCACAGCATTCATCTGCTCTCTCTGGAAGCCAGAAGACTGATTCACTTCAGGAAGAGAGAAAACTCAGTGAGTAGCAGTTGATCCTGCTTCAGAAGTAAAACAGCCCTTGACTTCAGAGAAACCCCTGCACAATGCAGGTCAGACACACCCAGGAGCTGGGTACTGGCCTGAAATCAAGCAACTTCAAATTTGCCTTTTTCAATGAACAGGAAAAGACTCTGGCCCTGGGAACTCTGCAGCAGGAACGCTCGAGTGAAGAGGAAACTTGCTTACATGAACGTGGGCATCACCACGGGCCTCAGTGCAACTCTGCAGGGGACAGACACCATCCACCTGCTCACAAGTAGCGTGACGAGTTTAAAGAGCCACTGCAGGGCATGGATACAGCATAGCACAGGATGCCTTGCTAAACATTTTGGAGAGCCCCCTTCCACCTTGTCTCACTGGGGGGAGACTGAAATCTTAATTGTATGGCAGAGGAAACAAGAGCAGCAGCAGAGGAGCCTAGAAGAGGACTTGTCCCATCTCTTGGTGGGAGTGAACTAGTCAGGTCGCCCTGGAGAACAGATGCAGGGGCTTTCACAGCTTAGACACCTATTTGGGAGAAATCAACTTTCTAGGTTGATTTCTTCATCACTGGCACCAGTGATGAAGCCTCAACAAAGGGAGAGTAGCTCTACAAAAAGAAAGGCCCATCCTTCTGGTCGCTAAAGCATCCCAGCTCCTGCTGGAGGTACTTCAATGTTCAAAGTCTAGGGTATAACCTTTTTATTCAATGAGCCTGGGAACAAAAAAGTGCAAGTCCTACCGGGAGCATCTGCAATATTCTCTTGAACCTACCCAATTAATCAAAGCAAATAAGACTCAAGTTTCCCCAAAGCTGCTGTGGCACACAAAACTACAGACAATAATTTGACTTCTGCTTTTTGGTTATTCTATGAGCTATCCCGACAAACAGGAGAGCTCAGTCCCCAGGGTGAACACGTATCTCACAGCACGGATGGTTCTCTTACCTATGTCTTGCTCAAGGATCCCTTTGTCACTGCACTTCATTATGTGATCGCTGAGGTCAGCTCGAGGAACGAGATGGCGGGCGTTGAAGGGGCATGTGGCCAATTCCTTTGCAACTTCAGGGTAGCTCTAGACAAGGGAAAATGAAAATCACATGCCATCTCTCTCAAGTTCACTTATCTCTTTCTAATCCACAGGAAAAAAAAAAAAAAACAAGGATATTTGTGATGCAGCTTTAAAAATACAAATACACAAGGAAGGGCAATATACTGTTCAGACACTTACTAAAAATGCAAGGGGAAAGTAAGAGGACTGTTCTCTAAAACACAATTCACTGAGAAACCGAGCCATCCTTGAGTTGACTGAAATGAAAGACACTCTCAGCCAAACTCCCTACAATTCACCGCAACACTGGCAATATGGTCACATGGCTTAAAGCACAGATGAAACTATTTTAAAAACAATACAGGAGAGATGTTAGGCAAATCTAAACCATTCAGATTTTTTTTTTTTTAATACACAAGCACAAAGGCAGAGAAATTCCTTAAGCCTTTCAAAACATCGCAGGAGCTGGCAGCATCCCACCTGCAGACACTGGTGCTACAGGGTTATCATTCAAGTAAAACCTTTTTATCACAGACACAGTGCTCAGCTCTCACTATGGGAAATTAGCTCCCCCCCTGCAATTGATACAGCCTTTATTAGGAAAAACACAACTTTTCCACTGTCCCAGTGCCTGCCCAGTTCCAACGGACGCAGCTCTGCTGGTCAGGGGTCAGACCTGCACCCCAGGCAGATGCAGAAGCACCTTGTACAGATGCTGCTCGAGGCAGAGTCTCCTCCACTACTGCTGATACGTGACTGCGGCACAGGCTGCAGCGCACCCACGGCCGTTGCCATTACCAGGTCCATACAGCCAAGGCTGCTGTGTCATAGAATCACAGAATCATAGAATCACTGAGGTTGGAAGAGACCCTTGGGATCATCGAGTCCAACCATCTCCCCTACTCTACAAAGTCCTCCCCTACACCATGTCCCTCAGCACTGCATCTAAACGGCCCTTAAACACAGCCAGGGATGGGGACTCCACCCCCTCCCTGGGCAGCCTGTTCCAATGCCCGACCACTCTTTGGGTGAAAAATTCCTTCCTAATGTTCAATCTAAACCCCCCCTGTTGGAGCTTGAAGCCGTTCCCTCTCGTTCTGTCACTAATTACCTGTGAGAAGAGACCAGCACCATCACACTATTTTTGATACAAGCCAGGATGCCATTGGCTTTCTTGCCCCCCTGGGCACACGCCGGCTCATATTCAGCCCTTTGTCAACTAGAACCCCCAGGTCTCTTTCCTCCAGGCAGCTCCAGCCACACTTCCCCCAGCCTGTAGCGCTGCAGGGGGTTGTTGTGGCCCAAGTGCAGGACCTGGCACTTGCCCTTGTCCTTATGTGTCCATCATGTCCTCGAGCAAGCTGTTCTGGCCGCACAGCAGAAGCTCCTCAACACTAACAGGATGCAACTTTCTGTGCTCTCGGGGTCCCCGTTTGCACGGCAGGGCTGCATTTTGCACAAAGCGATGGGAAACCGAGGCAGGGGGAAACATTTAATTGGATTTTATGCATAGTGCATGCAAAGGGAATTCAACAAACCAACAAGCACTGCTCAAGACCAGGTTGGACAGGGCTTTGAGCAACCTCCTCTGATGTGAGGTGTCCGTGCCCAGAGCAAGGGGGGTTGGAACTCAATGATCTTTAAGGCCCCTTCCAACTCTAACCATTCTATGATCCTATAAGCAAGGAGGACAATCTCTGCCCAGACGCTTGCCCTGCAAGTAATCACACAGTGGCATCTTCAGATGGATCAGATAATAATCCCCGAGCCCTTCTTCTGTTAATTACTTACAGACACAAACTGCACCTGGTAGTCTGACTAGTGACAGTGGTGATCACTATCTCACCTCATCTGCCTAATTAATTAAGCTTGCCAAAGCTGTCTGCTCAGCTAACTTTCTGTGCTCTCGGGGTCCCCGTTTGCACGGCAGGGCTGCATTTTGCACAAAGCGATGGGAAACCGAGGCAGGGGGAAACATTTAATTGGATTTTATGCATAGTGCATGCAAAGGGAATTCAACAAACCAACAAGCACTGCTCAAGACCAGGTTGGACAGGGCTTTGAGCAACCTCCTCTGATGTGAGGTGTCCCTGCCCAGAGCAAGGGGGGTTGGAACTCAATGATCTTTAAGGCCCCTTCCAACTCTAACCATTCTATAAGCAAGGAGGACAATCTCTGCCCAGACGCTTGCCCTGCAAGTAATCACACAGTGGCATCTTCAGATGGATCAGATAATAATCCCCGAGCCCTTCTTCTGTTAATTACTTACAGACACAAACTGCACCTGGTAGTCTGACTAGTGACAGTGGTGATCACTATCTCACCTCATCTGCCTAATTAATTAAGCTTGCCAAAGCTGTCTGCTCAGCAGTTATGGACAAAAACAACATGGTTAAAGGTTTACTTGCCAACATTGTTCACCTGGCTCTCATGCACATTACAGTCAAAATTTGCAGGGGGTCAATAAGGAAAATTTCAGCCCTCTTGAATGCTGGAATGAAGAGAGGAAGGAATGCTTCCTATTAAATTATTTGTATTCAAATTCTGGATAAAAAAATCTGAGAGGGGAAAAATCCCTCTCCTATAAGTGCTGAGTCCACGTGCAGTTTCTGCCAGATGCACATTAAATAGTTATTAGCAAAACAAAACAAAAACAACCCCAACCCTGCTATGCAGCTGCATTTCCAGCGAGTTGCAACATCACGACATTTCAACCCTGACTTGCCAGAAGGGGTGCACGTAACTCAGACTGGGTTCTCCAACTGAAAGTGGAAAAACCTACCTGACATCTATGTGAGCTGCTGGAAGAGACCACAATCTCCTTCCTGACCTAACCGTGAAGAATCTGTAGATTCTTCTGTAGCTACACTGCTCTTGGGTAATTAACATGTGCTTGAAGCTATTACTAAACAAATAAAATTATATGAAATAGAGGCTAAACAAGGCTATTTGTCAGGAACTTACTCCAGCCAGACAGAAAATGCAATAAGAATGAGAACACACGCATTATACTTACACATAAAGAATTACTTGCATCCAGTGGCCTGTTTGGCAGCCTGGCTTACCTTCCTACACTTTACAAGGTGATAGGGAAACCGCCCGGCTCTGATTCGATGGTGCTTATTATATGGGCATTGTATTAATCTCTCTGGGTCCAAAACATCTAGTAGAATGGAAGAACAAAGAGAAAAAAAAATCTAGTTAGAAAGACAATATCTAGCACCACTAACACAGGAAAGCAGGGAAAAAAAACATAACACCACATTGGGGTGTGATCTTAGGGAGTTAAACCAGTTGTTCTTATTTTAAACCATTCATTAAGGCAGGCATCCGTTTTGCATAACTGAAGAAATTCATTTTGAAGTTTGCGGTGACTGGGATGTTAGTCAAAACAGACAGAGAATACTGAGTAGCACTGAGCATAACAACTCTTTAATTTACCATATTAGGCAGGTAACTGCACTTACGCAAAGCGAATGAGGCCAGCACTGCTTTTCCAGCTGTGTTAGAGCATCGGTGGGAGGACGACACACCCAGCAGTGCCCTCAGGAGCACCGTCAGGCTGAACCAAATCTTTTTTGATCAACAGCTAGTTTTGCTGGAAGAAGAGTGCCAGGCAATTTAGTTTCATTTCTGAGGAAACAGCCTGCCTAACGCGGTGCATGTGACATCTAAATGAAACTTTTCATAAGTCATACCATTACTTAGGACCTGAGGAGTTAGTAAACCAGCTCAAAACACCTATTGGTGTTTTGAACAGCACTGAACAGCGAAGCAACATGAGTGCATATATGCATGATAGATTTTTTTCTACCTATCTCTACATAAAACATATTTTATTTGGAGGGAAGAGGTGCCATCCAGAGGCACCTGGACAGGCTTGAGAGGTGGGCTCGTGCAAATCACATGAAGTTTAACCAAGCCAAGTGCAGGGTCCTGCACCTGGGACGTGGCAACCCCAGGCACAAATACAGGTTGGGTGGAGAATGGCTGGAGAGCAGCCCTGAGAAGGACTTAGGGGTGTTGGTGGATGAGAAGCTGGACATGAGCTGGCAACGTTCACTCAGCCCTCTTGAATGCTGGAATGAAGAGAGGAAGGAATGCTTCCTATTAAATTATTTGTATTCAAATTCTGGATAAAAAAATCTGAGAGGGGAAAAATCCCTCTCCTATAAGTGCTGAGTCCACGTGCAGTTTCTGCCAGATGCACATTAAATAGTTATTAGCAAAACAAAACAAAAACAACCCCAACCCTGCTATGCAGCTGCATTTCCAGCGAGTTGCAACATCACGACATTTCAACCCTGACTTGCCAGAAGGGGTGCACGTAACTCAGACTGGGTTCTCCAACTGAAAGTGGAAAAACCTACCTGACATCTATGTGAGCTGCTGGAAGAGACCACAATCTCCTTCCTGACCTAACCGTGAAGAATCTGTAGATTCTTCTGTAGCTACACTGCTCTTGGGTAATTAACATGTGCTTGAAGCTATTACTAAACAAATAAAATTATATGAAATAGAGGCTAAACAAGGCTATTTGTCAGGAACTTACTCCAGCCAGACAGAAAATGCAATAAGAATGAGAACACACGCATTATACTTACACATAAAGAATTACTTGCATCCAGTGGCCTGTTTGGCAGCCTGGCTTACCTTCCTACACTTTACAAGGTGATAGGGAAACCGCCCGGCTCTGATTCGATGGTGCTTATTATATGGGCATTGTATTAATCTCTCTGGGTCCAAAACATCTAGTAGAATGGAAGAACAAAGAGAAAAAAAAATCTAGTTAGAAAGACAATATCTAGCACCACTAACACAGGAAAGCAGGGAAAAAAAACATAACACCACATTGGGGTGTGATCTTAGGGAGTTAAACCAGTTGTTCTTATTTTAAACCATTCATTAAGGCAGGCATCCGTTTTGCATAACTGAAGAAATTCATTTTGAAGTTTGCGGTGACTGGGATGTTAGTCAAAACAGACAGAGAATACTGAGTAGCACTGAGCATAACAACTCTTTAATTTACCATATTAGGCAGGTAACTGCACTTACGCAAAGTGAACGAGGCCAGCACTGCTTTTCCAGCTGTGTTAGAGCATCGGTGGGAGGACGACACACCCAGCAGTGCCCTCAGGAGCACCGTCAGGCTGAACCAAATCTTTTTTGATCAACAGCTAGTTTTGCTGGAAGAAGAGTGCCAGGCAATTTAGTTTCATTTCTGAGGAAACAGCCTGCCTAACGCGGTGCATGTGACATCTAAATGAAACTTTTCATAAGTCATACCATTACTTAGGACCTGAGGAGTTAGTAAACCAGCTCAAAACACCTATTGGTGTTTTGAACAGCACTGAACAGCGAAGCAACATGAGTGCATATATGCATGATAGATTTTTTTCTACCTATCTCTACATAAATTTTCATAAGCCATACCATTATTTAGGACCTGAGGAGTTAGTAAACCAGCTCAAAACACCTATGAATCTAGGCACTGAACAGCGAAGCAGCATGAGTGCATATATGCATGATAGATTTTTTTCTACCTATCTCTACATAAAACATATTTTATTTGGAGGGAAGAGGTGCCATCCAGAGGCACCTGGACAGGCTTGAGAGGGGGGCTCGTGCAAATCACATGAAGGTTAACCAAGCCAAGTGCAGGGTCCTGCACCTGGGATGTGGCAACCCTAGGCACAAATACAGGTTGGGCAGAGAATGGCTGGGGAGCAGCCCTGAGGAGAAGGACAGCGGAGGGGCATGAAGATGATCAGAGGGATGGAGCACCTCCCCTATGGAGACAGACTGAGAGAGCTGGGGTTGTTCAGCCTGGAGAAGGGAAGGCTCCGGGGAGACCTTAGAGCCCCTTCCAGTGTCTGAAAGGAGCTCCAGGAGAGCTGGGGAGGGACTCTGTGTCAGGGAGTGCAGTGACAGGACAAGGGGGAACGGTTTTAAATTGGAAGAGGGGAGATTTAGATTAGATACTAGAAAGAAATTCTTTACAGTGAGGGTGGTGAGGCACTGGAACAGGTTGCCCAGGGAAGTCACGGATGTCCCTGGAGGGGTTCAAGGTCAGGCTGGAGGGGGCTTTGAGCAACCTGCTCTATGGGAGGTGTCCCTGCCCAGGGCAGGGGGGTTGGAACTCAATGATCTTTAAGGTCCCTTCCAACCCAAACCATTCTATGATTCTGTGATTCTATATTAAAATAGAAATATTATTATCTCTACTGAAAAACACACTTCCATATTCTCAGTGAGAAAGAGGAGCAGCGAGGAGACGACACAGGTCCCCTCTGCTGCCTGTGGGTCTGTTTGTGGGGTACACACCAGGGAGCCAGATCTGCCTTCTTTCATCCTTTCTGCCACTCTATCTGCAGAGGCTTTTAGCACATTTAGGATTTGATTACACAGAAGCTTAAACAGATCTAAGCATGGGCTGCTGCTGTTTAGCCTCTGCCCAACACCACATCCCCTTCTCTTACACACACACTGGTACTTGGTTGTCTCAAGAGACATCAGCCTACAAGCTGACAACTAGTTAAGAAGACGCTCAGCATGTCACACTGAGCAGGCTTCATGCTGTGAGCCACTAGGAAGGAAGGAAGGACCTGATCCTTCTTTCCATCTCAGCTGTGCACTGCTGCTGCTGTCACCTCTGCCACCTGTGAGCACCTCTTGCCTCCAGTAGCCAGTTTAGGTCATTAGAACAGCTGAAAACTGAAGACTTCATCCTTAAGGAGGATTGGCGAGATTTGTACTGGTTCAGCTGCCCCTGGAAGAGCAATCAGAAGTGGTTTCTCTCTGTGAACTGGCTCAACACAAGACCAGACCATTACCAGCAAAAAGGAGACAGAGATGAGTATCAGAGGAAGAGAAAAGCCCTCACCACAGTACATAAACCAGCAAACACAGAAATCACAGGAGGCGGCTGCATCAGGTAAATAAGTGCAGTTAGCAGAAGGCTGCAATGAGCAAAGACTCGGCGGCACCATGGCACTGCCATATGCAAATGTGATCCCCATCCCTAGCCATACTGCAGGCAAACAGGAATCCACAACAATCCAAGCAATGTGTGCCTGGAGTCAGCCAAGCCAACAGCTACAGGCGGGAGCAGCGCTTTAACCAAATTAAGTCATTATATTCAGACACTTCCTAAAGACCAGACCCCATCCACACCAGAAGCGTGCCTGGTGTGGTAACCGCATATAACGCTGGCCTAGTTAAAATAATCAGCAACCCATTAGAGCCTGTCACGGGGCCCGGCCCGGCCAGGCCCTGTCTGCAGCAGCAGGCTGCCGCCTTCCCTTTCCCCCCTGCAACCCCCCCCCCCCGGGCCTCACCGAAGTCATCCTCCAGCTCCATGGCGGAGAAGGGCTCCAGGGAGCGCCGGGCCTGCGGACGGAGACGGGACCCGAGAGCGGAGACGGGGCCGAGGCAGCCGCGCTTCCCCGCCGGTGCTGCCGCGTGCTGCTCCGCGCCTCCGCGCCTGCGCCGCTGTTTCCCGGCAACCTCCCCCTCCCCGCTCGGGGCCCCTCCCGCCGGGGGGCGGTTGCCGGGGCAACACCGCGGCCTGGGCCTCTGTCATCAGGTCATGGAATCACAGCATGGTTTGGGTGGGAAGGGATCTTAAAGCCCATCCAGTGCCACCCCCTGCCCTGGGCAGGGACACCTCCCACCACACCAGGTTGCTCCAATTTTCTACCTATCTCTACATAAAACATATTTTATTTGGAGGGAAGAGGTGCCATCCAGAGGCACCTGGACAGGCTTGAGAGGTGGGCTCGTGCAAATCACATGAAGTTTAACCAAGCCAAGTAAAACCCTTCCCCCTCGTCCTATGGCTCCCCTCTCTCATCAAGAGTCCCTCCCAATCTCTCCTGTAGGCCTCCTTTAGGTAGTGAAACTTCATCCACCAGCTCCCTCAGGACCCATGGATGAATTTCATCAGGTCCCATGGACTTATGCACCTTCAGATTCCTTAGATGGTCTCGAACCTGATCTTCTCCTACATTGGTTGTTTCTTCATTCTCATAGCCACTGTTTTTGCCTTCTGCAACTTGGGTGCTCTGGTTAGAGCCCTTGACAGTGAAGTCTGAGGCGAAAAAGTCATTCAGTGCCTCAGCCTTCTCCATATTGTGGGTGACTAGGTCTCCTGTTTCCTTCTGGAGAGGGCCCACATCTTCCCTAGTCTTGCCTTTATCCCTGACACACTTACAGAAGTTTTCCTTGTTATGCTTGATGTCCCTGGGCAGATTTAATTCTATCTGGGCTTTAGCTTGCCTATATCTGGTTCCTGGACACTCAGACAGTTTCTCTGTGTTCTTCCCGGTCTACCTGTCATTGCTTCCACCCTCTATAGGCCTCCTTTTTGCTTTTGACCTTGTCCAGGAACTCCTTTTCTATTCACAGAGGCCTCCTGGCTTTTTTGCCTGATACTTCTTTCTTGAAATGCACTGCTCCTGAGCTTGGAGGAGGTGACTATCTGGTTCCTGGACACTCAGACAGTTTCTCTGTGTTCTTCCCGGTCTACCTGTCATTGCTTCCACCCTCTATAGGCCTCCTTTTTGCTTTTGACCTTGTCCAGGAACTCCTTTTCTATTCACAGAGGCCTCCTGGCTTTTTTGCCTGATACTTCTTTCTTGAAATGCACTGCTCCTGAGCTTGGAGGAGGTGACCCTGGAATAGTAACCAGATTCCTTGGCCCTCTCTCCCCTCCAGTGTTTTATCCCATGTTACCCTGCCAAGCAGGTCACTCAAGAAGCCAAAGTCTGCTCTCCTGAAGTCCAGGGTAGTGAGCTTGCTGCAGACCCTTCACACTATCTTAAGAGTCTTGAATTCTACCATGTTGTGATCACTACAGTGAAGGCTACCCTTGAGTTTGACATTCCCCACCAGTCCCTCCTTGTTGGTAAGGACAAGGTCCAGCATAGCTCCTTTCCTCGTTGGCTCCTCTAGCATTTGAAGAAGTTGTTGTCAACACATTCCAAGAACTTCTTGGATGGCTTGTGCCCTGCTGTGTGGTCCTTCCAACAGATACTGGGGTGGTTGAAGTCCCCCATGAGGACCAGGGTCTGTGAACGCAATGCTGCTCCTATCTGCCTATAGAGGTCCTTATCTGCCCTGTCGCCCTGGTCAGGTGGCCTGTAGCAGACCCCCACTGTAACGTCACCTGCCCCTGTGTTTCCTTTGATCTTGACCCATAAGCTCTCTATTGGGTCTTGATCCATCCCCAGATGGAGCTCCATGCACTCCAGCTGTTCACTGACATAGAGGGCAACACCCCCCCGTTCCTCATCTCCCCTGCCTGTCCTTCCTGAAGAGCCTGTATCCCTCCATTCCAACACTCCAGTCATACGAGTCATCCTACCATGTCTCTGTAATGCCAATGAGATCATAGCGCTGTTGGGTGCCATCTTTCCTGGGTCTGGTGTGAGAGCACCACTGGCTGCTACAGAGCAAACCACACTTCATAAATCATAGAATCATTTAGATTTGAAGGGACCCTGAAGATTATTGAGTCCAACCATCAAACTAACACTGCCCAAACCACCACTAACCCACGTCCCTCAACACCACGTCTGCCCGATTCTTAAATACTTCCAGGGATGGTGATTCCACCACTCCCCTGGGCAGCCTGTTCCAATGCTTGATAACCCTTTCTGTGAAGAAATGTCTTATAATATTAATCCTAAACCTCCCCTGGCACAACTTGAGGCCATTTCCTCTCATCCTATCACCTGTTACTTGGGAGAAGAGACTGACCCCCACCTCGCTCCAACCTTTGAGTAAGGCCGTGCTGGTGCCAGGGACCTCCTTGCCACCAGTGCCTAAGATAGGGACTAAAAACTCTAACCCTCTCCCCAAGGTATGGAGAACGTGTCCCTGCCCTGGCTGTCTTGCAGGAGGCTGCCGCTGAGAGGGAGCTGAAAGGCTAAGGGCATGGTGGAGCTATGCGCTGTGCAGCTCTGGTGGGCAGCCTGTCCTGCTGGACAGATTCCAGATGTTTGGAACAAGGCGATTTGTTTACCCTGCTTGATTTCTGCTCCCACAGGTCTCCCACCTCGAAGGCTCTGAGCAAAGAGACAGCTTTGAATGAAGGCCACATTTTTACACCCTGCTTTTGGGCACATGTGATGCGGGAGGAAAAAAACTGAGGTTTTACTGTCAAATGAAATCAGAGATCCCTGCTGCTTCCTCACCCCACATTACTGGGTTCAAAACCACTCACTTTTGTCTTGATTGCCTCTTTTTGCAACCAAAATATAAATGCTGTTTGTTTCAGTGGCCAGTCTGGCCCAAACCACAACATGAATGGATGTAGAAATGGATGGAGAGATACATTTTGGAAGCAGAAGACTTGGTGATGCAGGGGCCTGGGTTCTGCAAACCACCACCCAGGTCTCTTCGGCTGCAGGGTTCCCCCATCCATGCAGCCCAGTGGCCAGAGCACAGCATCCACGTGGGCATGGGCTTGTGTGGACTGTTTCCAAGAGCAGGAGTCATGGCTGCCTGTGCTGCTGTGGAGTGGGACACAGAGGCCTGGAGAGCATGGATGTGTGTGGAAGATGGCTGGGTACGGGGTTCACGAGCTTCTCAGGGGCATGGACAAGAGCATGTCAGCTCTGTGAGGGGATGTTACATAGGAATTTTCAAGCCTGGTTGGAGAACTTTACCCCATCCTGGCTCCTCTTGGGCATTGGGAAGTGTCCTGCCACTGTCTCTCCCCAGCACTGTTGGAGCTCCAACCTGCTCCAACACCTAGATGTAAACAAGTCTATGGGACCAGATGAGATCCACCCGAGGGTACTGAGGGAGCTGGCAGAAGTGCTTGCGGAGCCACTCTCCATCATTTACCAGCAGTCCTGGCAAACTGGGGAGGTCCCGGCCGACTGGCGTCTGGCAAATGTGATGCCCATCCACAAGAAGGGCCGTAAGGATGATCCAGAGAACTACAGGCCTGTCAGCCTGACCTCGGTGCCTGGGAAGATCATGGAACAGATCATCCTGGGAGCCATCATGCGACGCATGAAGGACACCCATGCGATCTGGCCCAGCCAGCACGGGTTCACGAGGGGCAGGTCCTGCTTGACAAACCTGATCTCCTTCTATGACAAAGTGACCCGCTTGCTGGATGAAGGAAAGGCTGTGGATGTTGTTTACCTGGACTTCAGCAAAGCCTTTGATACAGTCTCCCACATTCTCCCTGCGCGCTTCCCGCTGCTCCCGGCGCAGGAAGGGGTTGAGTGCTGATGGGCACCTCAGCACAGAGCTGGGATCCCGGGAAAGCTGGAAGCAATAGGCTCGGGCAGAAGTGAGCGCCTCTCGGAGGGAGCTATTTCTTTCTTTGACCCTCATTTCCCGTCTTGGGAGCTCCCAGGCAGAGACACTATGGACCAGGCTGGATCCAGATCCAGCAGGGTGTGCTGAGTGCTGGGCAAACAGGGCTGTTGTACGAGCTGACAGGAAAGCATCCTACTGCATAAAGGGTGGGTTGCATGTCATACAACTAAATGTACTCGGCACTGGTGAGGCCTCACCTTGAGTACTGTGTCCAGTTTTGGGCCCCCTACCATAAAAAAGACATTGAGGTTGCTGGAGCGGGTCCAGAGAAGGGCGACAAAGATGGTGAGGGGTCTGGAGAATAAGTCTTATGAGGAGAGGCTGAGGGAGCTGGGGTTATTCAGCCTGGAGAAGGGGAGGCTGAGGGGAGACCTTATTGCTCTCTACAACTACCTGAAAGGAGGGTGTAGAGAGGTGGGGGTTGGTCTCTTTTCTCAAGTCACAGGCGACAGGACGAGAGGAAATGGCCTCAAGTTGCGCCAGGGGAGGTTCAGGCTGGATATTAGGAAAAATTTTTTCCCTGAAAGGGTTCTCAGGCATTGGAATGGGCTGCCCAGGGAGGTGGTTGAGGCACCATCCCTGGAGGTGTTCAAAAGACGGGTTGATGTAGTGCTGGGAGGTATGGTTTAGTGATGGTGATGCTTCTTGTTTGTTGTGTGGGTGTCTATTTTTGTCAGTGAGGTTGATGGTTGGACAAGATGATCTTTAAGGTCCCTTCCAACCTAGAAGATTCTGTGATTCTGTGATTCTGAGCCAGACAGGCATTTTCGGAGCTCAAGGATCTGAGTCCCTGAAGGCGAGTCCTTCTGTGCTGATGTACCCAGGGCCCACTGAGGCAATTGTTTGCTCTCTGGCTGACTGTCCCCTCTGGGCCTGCATTGCTGAGATGTCTTCTCATCTGCCATTTGTCTGCCCATGAGAAAACAAACTCCTGTACCCTGTTCTCTGACTGCAGCACATCTGCTGTAGGTGCCAAGTTAGGGGGACACAGCTTCTCTGGTCAGGTAGAAATACTTCAGGACAAAGGGCACACCCAGAGATTACAGGGCCTACAGAAAAAGTCAACTTGTGCTTGCGCTGCTGGGTAAGACACTCATACTGAATATTTTTACTGCGCCGTCCTCCTGGCACTCATTGTGCTGCGTGGATTGTATCCATGACAGGGATATTCATGATCACAGCTCTGCCATTTCACAGAATCACAGGATCACAGAATGATATGGGGCTGGAAGGGGCCTCTGGAGACCATCTAGTCCAACCCCCTGCCAGAGCAGGTCCACCCAGAGCCGGTTGCACAGGAACGTGTCCAGGTGGGTTTGAATGTCTCCAGAGAAGGAGACTCCACCACCTCCCTGGGCAGCCTCTGCCAGGGCTCTGCCACCCTCACAGGAAAGAAGTTCCTCCTCGTGTTGAGATGGAACTTCCTGTGTTCAAGTTTGTGCCACATTTGATCTTCACCTCTTCTTTTTTCTTGAAGAAAAGGCAAGCAGAAGGGAAAGCAGCCCCTCACTTGCTGACAGTCTGTCCTGACAACTCTTGAACACTATGTGCTTGTCTCCAACCATAGGGGTGGTGAAAAGACTCTCCCAAATTCAGGGGTACATTGTGTTGCGAATTCAAGAGGTGTTGTGAATTCAAGAGGTGTTGTGAACATTGCCATACTCTTTGACACAGAAGCTGAGCCATGTGTGTCTGTTCCCTTAGGCTGATTAACACCTGCCCACAGTGGGAAGATTTTTCCAGTGGGGGACATGTTTACAGTGGTGAAGTTCTCCAGCAGAACACATTTTCC